CACTTATATTGTCACCTGTAATAATTAGGTCGTCAACATACTACTTCGAACAAACAAAGAAAAGTCAGCATGACTCCTTTTGAACCCTGCAGCTTCAAGGACTAAACTAACCTTCGAATACCAAACTCGAGGGGATTGTTTGAGACCATATATGGCTTTGTGAAGTCTGCAGACCTTGTTGGGTTCATTTTCTCTTGGATGACTATGAGGCAACTTCATGTACACTTCTTCTTCAAGATCCCCATGAAGAAATGCATTCTTCACATCCATTTGGAATAAGGGCCATGCATTATTGACTGCCACAGACAACAATACCCTCATTGTGTTCATTTTGGCAACAGGAGCAAAGGTCTCCTTATAGTCAATGCCATAGGTTTGAGTAAAGCCTTGAACTACTAACCGTGTTTTGTGTCTTTCAATGCTTCCATTGGAGTTGAATTTGGTCTTATATATCCACCTACTTCCCACGACCTTTTTACCATTTAGAAGATCCACCACACTCCATGTCTAGTTGTCATTCAGAGCTTGAAGCTCTTTAGTCATAACATCTTGCCACTCAGGCATGCATGTGGCTTCATGAAAATTCTTTGGTTCGAAAGTGTGGGATAATTTGTTAAGGAAAGAAGTATGAGAATATGAGAATCTGTGATAAGAAATGGCTGCAGAGATAGGATGCCTTGCAGTGTAAGTAACATACTCTTGTAATCTAACTGGTGGATGTCTATCTCATGTAAGATTTCTTCTTGGTGCACTTATAGCTTGCTGATTTGGTTGAGCTTCTGATGGTCCAAATGAGCTTGGCACTGCATCAATTACACTCTCAGTGAGTTGAGAATTATCAGTGCTGATATGAGCATGAGTGACTTCATGAATTTCTGCTAGAATAGGTAGTGGAAATAGGTCCATAAGATCTTCCATATAACATTAGTCTCCAACCCTTTGTGGAAATAAGGTGAATATTCATCAAATCACACATCTCTAGAGACTGCCAGCTTCCCCGTGTTAGGGTTGTACACTTTGTAACCCTTTTGAGAACTAGCGTATCCCATAAACACACATTTGGCATCTAGAGGGTCGCGTTTGTCACGATGGAGAGCTTGAATGTGCACATAACAAGTACAACCAAAGGTCCTGAGGTGAGACAAGTTTATAGGCCTGCCCTTCATGACTTCAAAAGGAGATTTAGTATTCAACACCCGAGTTGGCAGTCTATTAATGATGTATGTGGCAGTGAGTAGGGCTTAAGACCAAAATTTCTTAGGAACATTCATTTGGATCATAAATGATCGAGGCTTCTCCAATAAGTCTCGATTCTTTCTCTCTGCCACACCATTTTGTTGTGGTGTACCAACACAGCTAGTTTGATGCAAAATGCCATGATTGCTCAAGTAATTACTCATGTTATTGGAAGTGTACTCGGCACCATTATCTGATCTTAACATATATAACTTAGATGAAAATTGATTGGTGATTAGGTTGTGAAAGTCCTTAAAAACATCAAACAAATCACTTTTTAAGTTTTAAAAGATACAACCAGGTTACTCTAGAATAGTCATCAATAAATGTAACATAATATCTATACCCATCAAAGGATTCTACACGAGAAGGACCCCAAATATCAGAGTGAACTAGCTCAAAAAGTTTACTAGTTCTAGAATTAGAGGAAACAAAAGGAAGTCTAATGGCTTTTGACATTTGACAAGTTTCACACTCCAGTGTGTTTTTACAAAAAAAGGGAAACAACTTGGTCATCACATGTTCTAAAGGATGGGCAAGACGTTGATGCCAGAGTTGGTGTTCCTAAAATTGGCTTAAGTTGACACTGAGCTTTTTGACAAAATTGGACTCATTTGAGAGATAGTAGAGTCCATTCAAGAAGAACCCTTCACCAATCTTCTTCTGAGTAACTTGGTCCTGAAACACAACATTGTGAGGGGAAAATATGGCAAGACAGTCTAAGGTTTTTGTGATTTTTCCTATTGATAAGAGCTGAAAAGGAAAAGAAGGTACATAGAGAGCAGTGGAATCAATATGCTCACTTAGCAATCTAATCTTTCTTTCCCTATAATAGGTTCCCCTTTCCCATTTGCAACATATACATGAATTGGATCAATAGTTCTTTGAAAATCGTGGAGACTAGAGGGTTTATTAGTTATATGATAGTGGCACCAGAGTCAATAATCCAAAAATCATGTGTAACATTTGCATTAAGAGCAGTGGAAATGGCACTGATAATACCTGGAATATTGCCTTTCGATGTGTTTTCCGAGTCAGCTAAGAATCCAGCAAATTTCCCTAGCATTGTAGTAGGGTTTTCAGGTGACATTTCATCAGGTTTAGTGCTTCCTTGCTTCTTTTGAAGAAAAACAGCAAACTCGTTGATCAAGGACGCATGATTTGTTAAGAAATTGGCCATCCCATCAGTTGAGAAACAAGCTGACTGAAATGCTTTTGGAGTGACTCTACCCTTCCCATCTTTGATCATCTTGCCTTCCCTATCAAACTTAGGCTTTAACTCCGGATGAAGAATCCAACATTTTTCTCTCAAATGTCCCTTCATGTTACAATAAGAACATTTCTAGTCTGCTTTCTTGCCAAGCACCCTATCACCAGTTACTTTGTGATTTGTCTTGAAAACCCTAGCTTCAGAGTTGGATTTGGGCTCAACGTTCATCACTCTTCGTCGAGTTTCCTCTCTCTTGACTGCATGACACACACTGGTAAAAGAGGGCAGCTCTTGAGTCATTAATAAGTGACTGCACAGGTCTTCATACTCCGCTCCCAAGCTTGCTAAGAGTTGAAACACCTTGTCTTCATCAGCCTTCTTCAGGAGCACAGCAGAATCAGTCGTGTGTGGACGATACATATCGAGTTCATTCCACATGGATTTCATACTTCCAAGGTGTTGAACAAATGAGTGATCACCTTGCTTTAAACTAGCCACACTTTTCTTCAGTTGAAAGATGCGAACTGAGTTGTTTTGGCTGACATACATATCTTTGACAGACTCCCATAAGAGAAGAGAAGACTCTGAGTAACTGAAAAGCTCAGACAATTTTGGCTCCATGGAGTTAAGTAACCAGGACATGACCAGCTGATCAGTAGCATGCCATGCATCGTAAGTTGGTGAAATGGATTCTGGGGGCTCAGAGCTTCCATTGATAAACCCTAGCTTTGATCTTCCTCCTAGAGCAAGTGACACAACTCTTGACCAAGGAAGGTAGTTGAACTCGTTCAGTAACACCGAGCAGAGTCGTTGATTTGGATTGTTCTCAACCCCTTGGGTTAAGTTTAGGGAAGAGGATGAGGCACTGTCGGCACTAGACACGTTTTCTTCTGCCATCTCTATCGATGATGAGCAAATGAAGAAGTAAAAAAAATGAACAGAGTCAAGACCCTATGGTTCCTGCTATAATACCATGTTGAGTTTTGGTTTCAATATTTGTTGTATATTTCATTATGAAGATTACAAGAGAGTGAAGGCAACTCTTATAGAGAGCCAAAAGAAAGCTACAATAGATTGTAGGATAACTACACAAACACAGTCCCTAAAATCTGCCATAACCAGTGGAAAAGCAAAAACCAAATTACGAGTAAAGAAGCTTTTACAAGCAACTAAGAAAGTTTGATGTAAGGTGAATGACAAGCTATGGAACGTGATTGGTGAATGACAAGCTATGGAGAAAGGTTGATGTAAGGTGAATGACAAGCTGAATGACAAGCTATGGAAAGTGATTGATGAATGACAAGCTATGGAGAAAGGTTGATGTAAGGTGAATGACAAGCTATGGTGAGGATGACAACTCATACATACAACCCATCCATACAAACCAGTTTCAATAGCTCATTTACTCATTTTGTCATGGGTTTGATGAGAAGAGGGAGAGTAACGTGTACCGTGCATATAATAAAAGGTCATCGTAAAAAATATAAGAGGCTTACCTACTTAGAGAGCTAGAGGTGCCACGAACGGTGTTTAGGAGGAAAACAACCTGCATAAAATGAGTTTACCAATTACCATCATGTGCATCTTTGTCTCAAAATCTAAAATTACATAAGAAAAACTTACATATAACATTGTATTATTACACCGAAAAATTATAGTTGCGGTAGTCCCATTCCATGTAAATAGTTCACTTTCTAGAAATACATTTGATAGGTGCATTTCGGCGTGTATCTCGTATCGTACCTATATATTAAGCACAATTCTATAAAGACTAAAGAAAACTATATATTAATGATACTAAAAAAATCTTATTTTGTGCTCTTCCAAGCATGCAGAGCTTTTCAAAGTTCCAACACCACCACCCTTGCATAAAATTTCACGAGTTTTATATAATTTTATTTGGTAATTTTAACTTTCATGTCCCTTATTGAATACATGCATGGTGTTATTAGATAAGAAACAAACATGTTAATCGATATTTAATTAATAACTTAATTATATTATTTAATTTAAAAAATTTATTTGACATACTGTGTTGAGATATTTCAAACTCATGCTGACTCGTACTTAACCATTGATGAATCTGGTTAGTAGAGATTCTCTCTCTCGCAAGTCGCAAGTTTTTCTTCACGAGTGGACAATTCTGTGTTAGGTAGGCCCTAAACCCTACCTACTAGTATAACTCCCCTTAATATTTTACATAAAGAATGATAAACATAAAAATATATATTATGTAGAGAGAGGAGATATGATACTTTTTATCTTGGAATAATTGGAGCTATACAACTCCTATAATTTTGAATTGGAATTTATATTCATTCCAAAACTTTTTGGACGGAATTAGAAACATGTATTTTCGATTTGATTCAACCAAAAATCAGACTTATTCATGAGCAAAAAATAGTAGCGTATTCAAATTAAAATTATACTCGACCAGAAAAATCATAAGTAACGTGAATACAGTAACGAATATATCATTTAACATAAAAGCAAAAGAAACAACAAAGTGTCACTGGTCAATTAGACAGCAATAAGTGACAAATTAGGATATTAATTAGTTCTTGAGTCCCTTCCATATTTGAGCAACCTCAACAAGTGACTTGGTAGACGACCATTCTTCTGCCAAAGCCAATTTGGCAGCCTCTTTATACTCTTCCATCTTCTTCCTTAGCAATTTTCCTTCATCTCCTTCAAAGAGGTCCCTAACATAAGTAGCAACGTCTTGGCTCTCCACTATTCCCTTCTTATTCTCCTTGACCCCCAATGCAACTCTTAAACCATCAACTAGTAGCACCTTATTCATCTTTTGCTCTACATAGAGCGGCCAAGCAATCAGAGGCACACCATGCACGATGCTTTCTAATGTCGAGTTCCACCCGCAATGGGTCAAAAACGCGCCCGTTGACCTGTGATTCAGCACTTCGACCTGTGGGGCCCACGTCGGCACAACTAGACCCACATCTTTTGTTCTTTCAAGAAACCCGTTTGGTAGAAACCCAAGCGGGTTCTCTTCGCCTTGGACGCTAAAAAAAGAAGCATTCTTCATTGTCTCGTTTGGACTCTTGACAACCCAAATAAATCTATACCCACTCAATTCAAGACCCAAGGCCAACTCATTCAGCTGCTCTTGTGAGAGAGTCCCACCACTCCCAAATGAAACAAATAAAACTGACCCATTGGGTAGCTTATCAAGCCACCTCAAACACTCATTCCCATCGATCCCATCTATTGAACCGGTTTTTATCACCGGTCCAACCGGAAAAACCGGTGGAATACCTCTCCCTCTTATATATATATATATGTTGATTAACCACATAGTGAGATAACGGTTACATTGTTAATCTGCTATGTTCTCTTCTAGGCCGCCTAAACGTTGAACTTGAGGAGTTGAAGAGAAGAAGTGTGTGGAAGACATGAAATCTTGAAGGTTTATTTGAGTTTATGATTTTAGTTAAGTGGAATATTTCTGTAAAATTTGGACTTTATTATGTTTATTTTAGGTGTGGAAGACTTGGAGTAGTGTAATGTTTATTTTAAATTTGGACTTTTTGAAGACTTAAACTTTGATGTTTTTTTTTAAGTTTGGACTTTGGAAGATTTGATTGATGATTCTAGTTGAACTTTAAATATTGATTTTCATTGTGTATGAATGCTTATGTTACGATTGTGTTGGAGATGTTAAAATTTTAGATTTCAATTTTTATTCATTTTTTTAAAAAAAAAACCCGAACCAGGCCGAAACCGAACCGAAAAAAATTGAACCGAACCGAACCAAAATTTCTGTTAGGTTTCGGTTTTGGCAAAAAACCGAACCGTTTCGAACCGAACCCAGCCCTAATCACCATCTCAGACAACTAAGGAATCATGGAGGTCCTTGAGATCCATCGAGAACGATGTGATATGGGTTTCCAAGTCTGATGAGATTCTTCTGGATCTCTGGAAACCAGTTGTCAAGTACGAGTTTTCTTATCTCGTGACGACTTCAGTTCGTTGTATTCGCACCAAAATTCGGTGGGGCGCTTCTGGCGCGGTGGGAGAGATAAAAAAATGGACATACCTTTTATTCTGTGAGATTTTAGCTGACGGAGGTGAGAGGTAGATAGTACTTCACCTGATTTATGGAGTTGTGTTTTCCACTGATATGAGAGCTTCTTGTGTTGATAACTGTTGTAAAATCGATCATGTGTGTAGTGGAATAAATGAAATAAGACACAAAATTTACGAGGTTCCTCTACAGTCAGTGTGACTGGAGTACATCATCGGTATAACAGTGGTACTTTCATTATAATTTGAAATAATATGAGTACAAAAATAACTCTCTCTATTATCTCCTCTCCTCTTCCTCTCTCTTCCTCTTCCGTGAACTTTGTGGCTTCTATATATTTGCTCTCATCTTCAACATTCCCTTTTATAGGCATAGATGATAGTGCTTGTTACCTTATTGCCAGCTAAGCTACAGTGCTCTAAAGTGGTTGATATAGTCATCCATTACATCATTTAATGGTCAGCCACCAATGTTTACAACAAAAAATATATATTATGTAGAGAGAGGAGATATGATACTTTTTATCTTGGAATAATTGGAGCTATACAACTCCTATAATTTTGAATTGGAATTTATATTCATTCCAAAACTTTTTGGACGGAATTAGAAACATGTATTTTCGATTTGATTCAACAGAAAATTAGACTTATTCATGAGCGAGAAATAGTAGCGTATTCAAATTAAAATCATACTCGACTAGAAAAATCATAAGTAATGTGAATACAGTAAAGAAGATATCATTTAAGATAAAAGCAAAGGAAACAGCACAGTGTCATTGGTGAATTAGACAGCAATAATTGACAAATTAGGATATTAATTAGTTCTTGAGTCCCTTCCATATTTGAGCAACCTCAGCAAGTGACTTGGTAGACGACCCTTCTTCTGCCAAAGCCAATTTGGCAGCCTCTTTATACTCTTCCATCTTCTTCCTTAGCAATTTTCCTTCATCTCCTTCAATGAGGTCCCTAACATAAGTAGCAACATCTTGGCTTTCCACTATTCCCTTCTTATTCTCCTTAACCCCCAATGCAACTTTCAAACCGTCAACTAGAAGCACCTTATTCATCTTTTGCTCTGCATAGAGCGGCCAAGCAATCAGAGGCACACCATGCACGATGCTCTCTAGTGTCGAGTTCCACCCGCAATGGGTCAAAAACGCGCCCGTTGACCTGTGATTCAGCACTTCGACCTGTGGGGCCCACGTCGGCACAACTAGACCCACATCTTTTGTTCTCTCAAGAAACCCGTTTGGTAGAAACCCAAGCGGGTTCTCTTCACCTTGGACGCTAAAAAAAGAAGCATTCTTCATTGTCTCGTTTGGACTCTTGACAACCCAAATAAATCTATGCCCACTCAATTCAAGACCCAAGGCCAACTCATTCAGTTGCTCTTGTGAGAGAGTCCCACCACTCCCAAATGAAACAAATAAAACTGACCCATTGGGCTGCTTATCAAGCCACCTCAAACACTCATTCCCATCGATCCCATCTATTGAACCGGTTTTTATCACCGGTCCAACCGGAAAAACCGGTGGAATACCTCTCCCTTGTTCCTTGAGAGCCTTAAAAGCACCCGGTTCCAAATCCACAAAGCTATTGACCATGATCCCGGCAGCCGAACCATACTTCTTGCACATGTGATTCAAAGCTTTGTAGGCCGGGTTGGTCCTATCCTGAAGCGGATCCGGGAAATCTCGACCATGAAGTGGCACACAGCCAGGGAGTTGGACCGGTTCAGGCATGTCCCTATACTCACAAGAAGTTGTCTCATGAAGGTGTGGCATATGAAATATAAGCAACAATCCCATAGCACTAGTGGGGAAAAATATATAAGGAGACACTTGGAATTCAACGGCGACATCAAAAGCGTCCACACCAAAAACATCAACAATAAGTGACACTAGCCGAGTTGACTCGTTTAGTACCCTTACTGAGTCCCGGAGAGCCGAGAGGGACCGAGTCATAGTGAGACCGATCTTGGTCTCCATCCTGATGTCATCAGGGAGGTCGTCGAAGGTCACCGGTGGGAGGAAGACGTACGAAATGGAAAGAGAACTGACCGCTTCGAGGACCTTCTTTTGGGGTGTCAAAAGCGACCCGTCGTTCGGGATGATGAATGTGACGGAGATGTTGTGATGGACGACGAGTCGTTTGGCTAACTCGATGAGGGGAGTGAGGTGACCTATGCCCGGGGTTGGGACAATGGCTACATGGGGTGGCTTGAGCAGTTTGTGGTGGTGGTGGTGGCGGCTGCCGCCGCTATGGCCTTGGGTGTCTAATGCCATGGTAGTTGTACTAGTAGGTGTACAAGTCAAAGGTTTTGGTGCGATGAAAATGAATTGGAAGCAAAGAAATGGTATTTAAAGAAGAAAATGGAAAATAAACGAGATCGCTGCTGTGAGTTGTTTTGCGGTGTAGAATTTTCAATGGAGTGTGGACTGTAGAATTTTTAATTGAAGTGTTATAATTTCGATTATCGTCAAAAAGATAGTCAAATTTCTCACTCTTTCCGTGAAAATGATGTTGTTTTTTTAAATAGAAAAATAAGATATAGACCGTTTGGTAGATTTTCGTCTTGTGTTGCAGAGACTCGCAGGTAAGCGTCAAGTCCAACAGAGAGCTTTGCAAAATTTTTTACTTTGATTTTTGTCTATTTGCGTTTAAAATTTTTTTATTTGTGCGTTTCTTTTGTTTTTTATATATTTTTTGTTTGATAAACTGGAGAAATTTTTTGGGATGATCCATCCAATGGGAGGATGCCACATTCCCCATTAAAAAATCTTTCTGATTTAGTTCTTAAGAAAATCAATTAAACAAACATTAAATCCAAAAAGTAGAACTTCTCGACAACCAAGCTAACATCACCATGGATAGCTGACGGCTGGAATACTCCTTCAATGAAGCTACTCCACCTGTTCGACTTTTAAACTTCTTTTGAAAAGATGGGAACTGGGAAAAATCATTTTTGTGACTTTAATTTTCTTCTTTTGACAACTACATGCTTGAAGTTTCTTCCCTCTCTAGTTCGACATCACTGTTAGTCGTACAGACGTAGGTTACCTTGCTATTATATCCTCATAAACTCATGATATAATCATGCGGATATCGACATACGATGAGTGTGCTGGTGAACACTTGAAAGTTAAAGTCATAATATGCAACTAGTGTAAAAAGTACGAGTAAATTAAAACTAATTCAATCTAGGAGTAAGAGTGCACAGTGCAAGAAGAACCCTTACTACAAATGCAAGTAGTGTTAGAGCATGAAAAAAAGTGCAATAAAAGTAAGAATAATCTCATCCTGAGTAGGATGGATATTATACAATTAACAAGAAATAAACTCTCTACATTGTCAAAAGTAGGTGTCAAAATCCGCCACGCCAATGATCCCTCCTCACGATAGAATTCAGCTATTAAATTTTGAAGGGAACGCAAAACAAAAAGTGTAAGTAAGTAAAACAATAGGATATACTAAAATAAGTATGAAAAATCCATATAATTTTTTAAATCATACTAAAATAAGTATGAAAAATCCATAAAATTTTTTAAATCATACTACAAATAAGTATGAAAAATAAAAAAGTGAAACGTATAAAAGTAAGAGAAATTTTATTTGAACCCGTATAACCTCTTTTTACACTCAATTTACTCTCCACACCCATATTATTTTTAATTAAACTATTAATATCTTTTTAAACCCAATTTTATAACCTAAACTACCCTCATAAACCCAATTCAATATGTAAATTTATCTTTACACCCATACTACTAACTTGTTGAATTTGTGATAACTTTTTCTCTTACAGAATAACCAAATCAATATGATTTAGATTCTGATTTATGCATTCCCTGATTTTGGTTTTTACTAAGTTTGATTTCGAGACTTAATGGTCAGAGGCTACTTGCAGTTTTTCTTTAATCTTGTTATATTTTGCATTTGTTAGAAAAACATCAATTGCAATTTTGTTTGACAGGTTTATATATACAAGTTTAGGTATGGGATTGATGTTTGGTGACACACCCCGACCGAGATCAAGGCATGCTGGTCATCACATGAGAGTGACGTAGCCATGTGCACAGTGCGGAAGTAATAGATATAAGAAATATACGAATAACTAAAAACCGAATAATTAGAGTGCACTACTAAACAGGAAGTGATAGGAGTTAGTTACAAAAATAAACACTCCTAATCAGAGCATAGTAAGTCTAGGTGCAGTCCAGTAGGACAAGTACTAGTTATACAGTACCAGGAATGTCCTACTATTATTTAGAT